AAAAAAAAAAAAAAAGATGGCTCCTAAGATTGCGTTAAAGCAGTGTTTTTCAACCTTGGCAACTTGAAGATGTCTGGACTTCAACTCCCAGAATTCCCCAGCCAGCGAATGCTGGGAGTTGAAGTCCAGACATCTTCAAGTTGCCAAGGTTGAAAAACACTGCGTTAAAGGTCTTGAAGCTTAAAGGCAAAATGCAAAGCTTACAATTTTAAAAGGATTTTTCACTAAGATCCTGTTATGTCTACAATATAGTCACATATTATGTGATATAATAAAAATCATTTAGGTGAGCACAGAATGGCTGAAGTATTTAATGTTACTTACTTCTCAACAGGCTTCAATGGCATTCCATCTTTGGTCCAAGTATATTTAAGATTGCTAACTCCGGCAGTTGCACAGAGCAAATTTATCGTGCTGACATTCTTGGTTAAAAGAAAGGTACCTTCAAATTGCAGAGTTACAGTGTCATTTGAATAAACCTGTGGCCCTTCCTGCGGCTTGACAATAATAGCTCCTTTTGAATTTCTCACTACTGGTGTGCCTGCAGTTTTTGTGCTGAGATTATCCGTCACTCTTTGGGATTTGTCAAATTTCCTGGCGGGGAACTTCTCGTTTTCAGATTCTTTCTGCTTTTCGCGAGCAGACGGAGACGGTTTCGCTAACTCAGCAATCAGTTGATAGACAAACTGGGAAGCCAAATCGTTGCTAATTTCTCCAGCTTCGATAAGGTGGCTCAAATTTTTTATCAGCCCATCAAAATGGTCCGTATCCATACTGTACGCATTAGGTAGAGCTACGGTGTTGAGTTGCTGAGTGGTGAATTCGTGAGCACTGTGTCCTTCTTCGGAACTCCTCCTCTGCGTTTTCAGGTTTTCCAAGGCAGGCTGGTCGTTCACTTGTTCGTCGCGCAGATATTGTTGACTTTTCTGGCTCCACAACTGCCACATCTCATTTATCTGGTGCCATTTCGCTCCGAAGCTGTTGGATTCGTTGTGGTCTGTGGTCTCACCTGCCTTTTTTCTGCTGGTGGCAGTTTCCAGGAGCCTGTTGCTTGTGCCAATGAGCTTAAGGACAAAGATCTCCTGGGCAGATCCGGCAACACACTTATACACTCCGATATCCGAATTTTCAAGGTTACTGATCTTGAGAGACCCTGATTTGGTGACGCCAAGACGTTTGGAAATCTGGAGTGGCTGCCCATCTTTCTCCCACTGGATAAGCGTCTTCTGGAATCTCCGAACAGGGCACCTGACGATGACAGATGTTTTGGGAAGTAAATAAGCTCGGCTTCCAACCGTGAAATTAATGCGCTTCTCTTGCCTTGTCTGAATATAGACTTTATGGATGCTGAGTATCTGTGGTTTGTCAAAAAGTCTGGATTTCTTTTCTTCTTTCAGACCTGAAATTGCAAAAGTATATTGAGAACGGGTATATGTTTTCATCATTGTTTTGCATCTTGCATGAGCCGCGGTGGCGCAGTGGTTAGAGTGCAGTACTGCAGGCTGCTTCTGCTGACTGCCGGCTGCCTGCAATTTGGCAGTTGAAATCTCACCAGGCTCAAGGTTGACTCAGCCTTCCATCCTTCCGAGGTGGGTAAAATGAGGACCCAGGTTGTTGGGGGCAAATATGCTGACTCTGTAAACTGCTTAGTGAGGGCTGTAAAGCACTGTGAAGCGGTATATAAGTCTAAGAGCTATTGCTATTACTATTTTCACCGTATCATTTATTCTTCTTTAAAAACTGTTTACCTACAAGTGTTTCAGACTGACTTTTATCTGGATAGATTCTAGAGAGCTGAGCTTGAGATGCTAATATTCTAATCTCAAATTGTTATTGGGAAGGTCAATTAGACTTTACAGCGAGCAATGCATCAATGAAGTGGTAATTTGGCTGGAAAGAATCCAAATACATGTAATCCTCGGCCTACGACCAGAATTGAGCCCAAAATTGCTGTTGTTAAGCAAGGCATTTGCTAGGTGAATTTTGCCCCATTTTATGACCTTTCTTACCATAGTTGTTAAGTGAATCGCTGCAGCTGATAAGTTAGTAACCTGGCTGTGAAGCAAATCTGGCTTCCCCACTGACTTTGCTTGTCCTTGGGGCACCGCAATGCTTCTCATAAATATGAACCAGTTCCCAAGTAGCTGGGTTTTTGATCACATGATCACGGGGATGCTGAAAAGGTCATAAAATGTGAAAAATGGTCACATGTTTTTCAGTGCCGTTGTTAACTTTGAACGATCACTAAACTAAACGAACTGTTGTAAGTTAAGGATTACCTACTGTAAATTAAGAATTAATCTACAGTACATCAACTTCTACAACCGAAGAGAGAAAGGGGTTGCATACAGGAGCATGATGAAACATGTATTTTCTTAATAACTGTCTTTGTGAAAATTAGGATACCATTAGGGGTGGGATTCAGCCAGTTCGGACTGGTTCGGGTGAACCGGATGCTAGTTTTACATTTGGTTCGCTGAACCGGTAGTTGCAAGGACTGGCTGGCCACACCCAACCCACTTCTCCCCTCCCAGAAGTCTCCACATGGCCCATTATGAATGCCTGAACAGAGGCTCTGGGAGGGTGAAAAATGGACCTCCCAGACTTCTGGAAAGTGTGGAAACGGGCTCGTTTCCGGCCTCTGGTGGGCCTCCGGAGCCTGGGGGAGGCCATATTTCCCACCCCAGAGGTTCGGGGAAAGCCTCCAGAGCCTGGGGAAGGCAAAAAACACAC